TTTCAAAGATATATTTAATCTTGGAGCAAATTCTAAAACTTTTATTGAGAATGAAAACCCTTTTTGGCATGATGTGCTGAAAGCATGGAAACTATTTCACAAACAACACAATGTTGACCCAAAAGACATTAATGAAATTCTATCCCAACCACTATGGTTCAATCACAACTTCATAAACTCTACACATTTCATAAAGAATTGGGCGGAGAAAGGGATTACAAATATTAGGGATATATGTGATGATAAAGGATTACTATCAATAGATTTTTAAAAGAAAATTATCATATCAAAGGTACTTTTTTAGATTTTAGATATTTACTGAACACATTACCTAAATCTTGGAAACATACTTTCAAGCACTGTCACTCTATCCCAGTCAGGAATTTGAATGTTAACCAAAGCCGGATAAATTTACTAAAAACGTCAAAAGGCTGCAGGATTTTTTATGATAAACTAATTTGCAACGATAAATACCCAAACGTTTGTAATAAATGGCAGTTTTTATTTCTTGAAACTGACTTTGATTGGAAAAATATATTTACAGTATATAGAAAGGGATTACAAGATACAAAGCTTATAGACTTTCAATAAAAATTTCTACAAGGTATTATTTATACAAAAAGGAATTCATCAAAAAAAAGAAGTTGACAACAGAGTGTGTTGTTTTTGCAATGATGTAAATGAGAGTGTGTGACATGTGTACTGGGAATGTCAGGAGACACAAACCTTTTGGATAAACCTACAAATCTAGCTTAACTTCTATCCTCATCCATTGATATTATCAAAATACATGATTTGGTTTGGTACTCCACATGAAAATAGAATACAAAATCACATCATCATTGCTGAGAAGAGACATATTCACATATGCAGTATCAAAAATATGCTTTCAAATCTAACTTTATACAGTCGTGCCCCATTTATCCGAACTTCAGATATCCGGAAAACTTGCCTTCCGAACGAAAATTCCTTAAAACAAATTCACAACATTGTAAAATAAGTCACTTATCCAGAAATCCGGTTTCCATAACCGGACAGTCGTTTTAACGCAAAAGTATATGCATTTTTCTCTCGTATATCCGGATGGCTGAGCACCTGTCAGTATGTTTACACACGCATTTTACCAAGTGGCCTTGTGTGTTCTAACATAAAAGAAGTTGGAAGTCTTTGAAGCGTGAAAGGATTAACTACCTGTAATTAGCAAGATGACAATGAGTTAATCTGAGTTGCTTTTGAGGCGTGTAAATTTGTGGGTCGCTATAATTATGCTGATAAACTAGGCTAGATGTCCCCGTTGTTTTGGTAGTGACTTTTATCCCGAAGTGTAGGTACAGGAACAATGTGAAAGCGTGGATGACATCAGAAATGTTTTGTGATTGGTTGCTAGCATTTGACAGACAGATGAGATTGAGAGGTAGGCGTGTTATATTACTGATGGACAATGCATCTAGCCCCACCCCCAATGTGAAGTTGACACATGTCAGATTGCACTTCCTGCCGCCCAACACGACTGCACACATTCAGCCGATGGATGCAGGAATCATCCATGCTTTCAAAACACTGCATGCTCGTTGTGAGGAGGGGCGGTGGGGTAGCCTAATGGTTAAAGCGTTGGCTCGTCACGCCGAAGAAACGGGTTCGAGTCCCCACATGGGCACAATGTGTGAAGCCCATTTCTGGTGTCCCCCGCCGTATCGGCGTATGTACGGATAGAAAATATGCACGATACGGTAGGAAATAATTTAGAAAACGTAGCACATACGCACCACAGCAGTGCTGTACGGTCTTAGATTTATTACAGACGTATTTATCTGAAAAAGTATTGTTTTATTGTTTATTGATCTGTTTACACAAGAGTAGCAATGTTGTGGTGCATATATGAAACGAAACACAAGATTACTGATCCGCCATTAAATTCCATTCAGTACTCTAAATGTACTCTTAAGTTTTTCCAGTACTCCTATATTGAAACAAGAAGGAGTATGTACTCCTGATGTTGAAAAATTATCTGGAGCCCTGAAAACCTATTATCATATAAAGATCAATAATTGAACAAAATTCACAAACAAGTTCATTAAACATCTATTCAACTATGAGATGCACACCTTCAGAGTCCCAATGAAACACACGTATAAGCTTAATCAATTCTGTTTAGCAGATTTTGTGGAGACGTGGATAGACTTAATCCCCTATTTCACTATCATCAGAGAGAAATTAAACAACATTTATCTAAGTTCAAATGTCTCTAAACATACAAACAAATATAAAATACAAAAACAAAATATGGGATGCACACCTTTAGAGTCTCTATAAAAGACATATGTAAGCTAAATGAGTTTTGTGCAGTGGTTTTTGAGGAGAATTGGATAAAGTACACCCCCTGTTGTATGGGACGAACAGGATGAATAGAACCAAATTCAACTAAGTTCAAACATCTGTAGAAGTAACAAAATTAGAAATTGGATGAACAAGGTATGAGATGCATACCTTTAGAGTTCCAATGAAACACACATAGAAGCTCAATCAATTCTGTTTAGCAGCTTTTGTGGAGAAGTGGATAGACTTCATCCCCTATAACACTATATTCAGAGAGAAATTCAACAAAACTTACGTAAGTTCAAACGGCATTATAATTGGAAAAATAAATACAATACAAAATCAAAATATGAGATGCATGCCTTTAGAGTCCCTATAAAGCACATGTGTAATCTAAATGAATTCCATAAAGTAGTTTTTGAGGAGAAGTGGATAACGTACACCCCCTGTTGGATGGAACGAACAGGCTGAATAGAACAAGATTCAACTAAGTTCAAACATCTGTTGTACAATACGTCACTTCCTGATATCGATTTAGGACAGAAAATATGCAAGTAACCTCATAGCCGTCGCAGGATTACTTTTGACGAAGTAAGTTTTGATTCGTGCAAGATGCAATGGCGGTAGGGGTCATACTAGTTTCAAAATATTCCAGAAGTTACTGCAAAGATGAATGCTTTAACTTTTCAACAATTAGACATGACACTCCAATTAAAATAAATGACTTTTTCAAGAGAGACGAACTTTTTTTTTTACATGATTCGCAAATGTAAACAGCCGATGCAGGGCGTGGTATTTCCGCTTTGCCAATGTTTTCATGTGGCGCGATAATAGAGAGTCCCAGTATACTACTGCTGGTAACATGTTTAAAGATACATGGTGAGGTATACTATTTTGTGCCATGATTACAATACTTTACACGAAGGATGAACTGAATATTTCATGAGTAACTTTTAAATCTCATTAAATCAAATTTCAGTGAAATTGAAATGGAACTATGCTTACTGTTTCTACAATTTTTCAAAAGACAGTTCCTTATTTTCAAATGTAAGCACCATCTGTCATTGTACAGAGTGAGTGACTTGGGTTTTACGCTGCTTTTAGCAATATTCCAGTAATATCACGGCAGGAAACAACAGAAATGGGCTTCACACAAAGTACCCATGTGGGGAATTGAACCTGGGACTTTGGCATGACGTGCGAACGCTTTACCCACTAGGCTACCCCACCAACCCATATGTCATTGTAAAAAATGTATCTTTCAGTTAAGAAAGATGTCCTTCCAGTCCTATTAGCGTCATCAACAAATTAACAATTGTTCAGGCAGCCCTACCAGTAGAATTGAATTAAAAGGTTGTTCCTATGACAATATCTATAATCAGTAAATGGAGGATTTAGATTCTTGAGGTTTGCTCTGTAACATTTTTAAAGACATCATCACATAAGGCTTATGATAAGGATCTCTTGAAATTCATATTTATTTCAATCAAACAATGAAACGGAGTGAACACACGCCTAAATCTTGATACGTGAGATAAAGACTAGTGCCACTCTACAAACAATAAATATCATCAGAGAAATAACAAAGAACAACAATACAGATATCAGAACTAGAAAACAAATGCTTCACTTTTGTGGGTCTTCAGAGAGTGAAGGGCGATTCCAGGAAATGAAATTATCACGAGACTGAGTAGATGAATTTGCTGTTTGAAATGTGTTCCTTTAAGCCTGGACAAGACAGTAATATGGCAAGGCAAAGAACATATTTTCAGCTACTATGAATGTCTGTTTACAAAGTGCATACATGGCATAAACCTGATACGTGCAATATTCAGCCTTACAAAACATAAATGTTGTTTTTGCTATCTATTTATTAAACTAAAGACTCCGTTTTAGGGTTAAGGACATAACTTTCAACTTGATAATGTCATCACACACAAAATTCTACACAGTTGAATAACATGATTTGTAAAACAAACCATGCAACTATTTCATAATTTGTACACTTCATGAGTGAAGAGAGTGCCTACAAGAATTAAATCAACGCCCCCAAATCCAAATCCCAATCAACCATGCGTTCCAACTAGGCCTATATTTAGCTCACGTCGTCTGCACATTTTACCGTGTTGCAACCAAAGTCTTTCAGCCGATAAAGCTCTTCTTACTCTAGTTGCGCCATCAAATCAGTCTGAAAAATGCAGTTGTGGAACAAATTGTGATTTAAGAAAACAACTGTTACTTGACAATTTCACTTGATGATCTGACATATTCGCTTGATAGAAGAAAACATAAACAAATCGGATAATGTGTGTTATTTCAATTGCAGTAAAATAGGAGGAATGTGATGACATGGTAACATAGAAAATACACGATTTATATCACTCTGCTATTCGTCTAGGTTTGTTAGCAGGTATTTGGGTGTATTTTCACTCACCGAGCAAAGAAATCACAAATTCTCACTGATATATGACAAATCGCACAATATGGCCGTCCATATGACGTCACGTGAGTTCTCGTAAAATGATCTATGTATAAAATGGGATATATCACGCACACATTTTTGTTTGATGAAATAATAGCACTAGTTCTCATCGAAAAACTATTTTCTTTTTCAAATTTTACACAAAAGTCACATTTCCCATACTGCGAAGCGCACAAAGATGGCGGCTTACATCCGATTCTGAAATACGCTAACAGCGATTTCTATTAACTTTTCTTAAGAGTGCATATTTAACTTTTGCACATGTATTGCTGCAGAGGACACACATTTTCAAAGATAAGGTTGTTCATTTTATTGTGATTCCATTTATTGTTATAGTTATTTGTCTCATTTGTCTGTGTTCCCCGATCCTGACACTGTCACTTTCGCTCCAAACATGCGCAGACAAGTGCTCGAATATTTGACAGGTGCCCGCGACTCTTAAGTGGTAATTTGTTACCGGCTAGGTGTAATTATCACGAGTGTCTCTGTTAAAACCTCTTATAATCATTACACAAGCGAGCAAGTTTGGTTTTACGCCGCTTTAGGCAATTCCAGCAATATCACATCGGGGGCACCAGAAATGGGCTGTGAACCGGGTTCGACCAAACCCGGGTCGTCAGCATTGATGAGCGACCGCTTTAACCACTAGGCTACCCCACCACCCTCATTAACTGTTGTATGTTTGACTATACTCATAATAAACACTTAACCACTCTGAGATGTTTTAAATAAACAACACTGAGACACTCGGAGATGTTTAGGATTAGAACTATCCTGGCGTAATGTAGTCCAGCATATACCTAGACGACTTTGCACTATACCGATGTCTAGCCGGCGAATTCAAGTTCTTTGACGCACTTCACTAGGCAGAGAGGCACAACAGGGTTAGGCATAAACGAGGGTAGAAACTCAACCTATCAACTAATACATGTGCATGGATTGATAAAACTTTCATTCATTTTTAAAACGAAATATTAACCTCCTCTAAAAACGACTCATTTTTTTACTTAAATGACCTGAAACATAGAGACCCCACCTACTTTCCACTAGGGACCGCAGACCAAATTTTTAAATATAAGGGATATTTTTTTGCCTATTTTTTTTAGGTCTAGTAACCACTGAGAAGTAAAGCAATGATGTCTCTTTTACAAAAATGTATGTGCTTTAGCCTACAGAGGTCCCCCAAGCAGAACCGCTGACGTCACCCATTTTTGCATTTTTAAAAACAATTTTGGCCACTCAACTGCTCCAAGGAAATATAAGTTTTCATGGAAAAAACTGTTCCAGTCTGTTGAGTAGATGTTGTTGCATATTTCCCCAAAGTTTCCTTTGAAAATACTCATAATTTTTTTATCTACTGGTATGTGTTTGCATGGAAATATCGTTGTGAGACAAAAACAGAGACAATATCAAGTCAAAAAATCATGTTTATTATCATATTATATTTTCTTCTAAGCAATTATGCATATAGTATCACTGAATGTTGTTACTTTTAGTTCAGAATAAAATTTCTTCATCCTGTTCATGTGTATTTACATGCATTCAAGAACCAAAGTAAAATTTTTATCATGTTGCTTTTACTAAGGTTTTCGGCCAAAACTACTTCTCAAAATTCCTCTTTACCATTGTGTAAACTTCAAAATGAAATTATATTAATAAAAAACTCATTTGATTCTTGAAAATTATTTTTAAAGATAATAAAAATCTGAGCAAATATTTAAAATATTCAAAAACCATAATGATTGCTTGTTGTATATTCAAGTTGCAGTTCTGTCTTGAATCCAGTAAATAGTTCATATAATTGTTGAAAGTTGTCCATAATCCAAATATATTACATGATTTGACACTTCTGTTCAGAGTATACTTGAAATGAAGCCTCACACAAAGAGGATCATACACATAAAAACGTTCTTTTCAGTCACTTCATTGTCTAACTATCTTTCAGTTCCAGCACTGGTCCTGGATGTTTCCCATCTGTTTCAGAAATACGTGAAGAAAATACTTGAGTGTACAATAAAACATATAGACAAGACAGTTGCCATCACATCAGCACCGCTAAGACCAAATACATACACATGACATCAGCTTAGAATCATTGTGAAAATGATATGGACAAATACGTTTCAGAGTTTGAAACAGCTCAAATGGATTTTATCTTGATGCATTGTGTCATTTGCACTGTTCTTCAAACCCATGTGTTTCCAGTATCTAGCTACACTTTGTAATACATGTTATCATAAACAGTCATAGCAATTCTTTGTAAAAATATTTTACCATGTCGTAGGTACCACGATTTTACAATCCACTACGACTCCACGTGGAGAGGAGTCGTATTACATACTTTCAGCAGTTGCCACATTCATCATGTGTTGCATATTATATGTAATAAATTGAGAGAGAGAGAGAAAAGACACCGATTCTAAAAGATTCTTCATTTTCTCTACTAGATATATGCATTTTACAACACCATAATGGAGCTTTTAAATGTATCTTTTTACGATTGGGAATTGTGGTGGTCCGATTAATTGAAATAATGAAAGATTGGTTGCAATGACTAAGCAACCAAGCAATTGATCATGTTTTCTCATAAGCGAACACAAACAATTCTGGAACACTTGTTTGCATTAACAATTTTTTTCACAAGGTTGGTTTCGTCTGTTTCATTTCATAAGCACTACAAGTTTGTTCCTCATCATGATTGAATTCTGTGCAATGTACAAAATAAACCCAAAGAACTACATGTTTTTTTCTAGATTTTTTGTGCATTAAAACATTAAAGCACACAGTCAGGAAGATTTGATAAATGACAAAAACCAGTTATTTTCGATGATTGATCGGTTGTAATGAATCAATCATCAATTATGAGATTTAACCAATTCCCAGCATTAATTGTGAATAGGTTATTGACATGTTATCATAGACAGTCATAACAAGTTTTCATATTTATCTTCCACAGTATTTTCTTCGAGATGAGGCATTCTTCAACCCTTGTAGCAGGAATCTCTAAAACACAACGATTTCAATACAATATATAACATATGTATGTAATATAATACAATAATATATGTGCATTCTTAGCAGCCAAACACTTGACAGTTCAGAAAAAACCTAAAGCACATAAGAGAAGATTAACTCTTAAAAGATTCAATTGTCATCTGACATTAAACATACATGCCCCCACCCCATTACCCTACAATAAATGGCTATCACTTAATTTTTGTTCAGTTTTTGTTTGTATATAAAAATGAAATTTTCATACATGCAGTAACCATTTATTAAAAACACTTTAATTATTTTTTTTGTAGATAAATCTGGGTTTAAATACTAAACCTCTATGCAATACATAACATTTCACAATTTATTAATGATCCTTCCATCATCATGATCATACATTCAATCTGGTTTTCAATAAATATAAAAGTCAGCTTTAAGTGAACACAGTAAAAACACATTATTATACACACAAGTGTTACCACTATTTCAACACACTAAAATGAACATGTAATGAGCCTTGTCTTTGCTAAGACACGGGGATTGTTTACATGCATATAGTTTGAAAAAAATCATACTCAGGTTACCATGGTTACTAAATTGCAATTTGTAAACACAAAAAAGAGTGACAACTTCCTGTTCTTGCTCAAATACGATTACCACAACAATAAAAATGTTCTATGATCAGGAGAATCCAGGAAACGTGATAAACAAAGACGTTATTTATAAAAACTTTCACTGTGAAAAAATAGCTGAATATCTGCGTCGACTTTACCTGCTTCATGTCAAGGGCAGATAACTCTAAATGACCAAGGTACGCGATTCGTGGCAATGACACAAGAAAAGTTTAAGGTCTCATTTCAGTAAGTTATATGCTTCCTAAAAATACCAAACTTTTTGTGCATGTAAATTAATGATTATATTAAGCGTATTTGCCCATACTTTAAGAAAATAGATATTTTTACAATATTTGGCATACATTTAAAAAAGAGCAAAGTTCAACTTACCGTCGTTTCTTCATCTGTCGTGGTCAGATGCTAGTTTTGCGAAATACGCGCACTTGAACATGTGTACGACGCGACACCATAAAAAAAAATCGCATACATTTTGTCAAAATATGCGTACTTGGACCTTAAACGTCGGCCTGTCCGTGACCCAAAAAATACGACACTAACGCCCCTAGCGGCGGCTGCGGTCGCTATTTCCACCATTTGTCGGCCATACTGTTATGGTAATTAGCAGTTGAATAAAAAGTGGAAACGCATTAAAACGTATTTAGGAACAAATAGAAACTGCTAAAAGTTCGTCCCCCTTCCTCCGACTTCAGAGCGTCATGTAATCACGGTCCGTTTAATACGATTCCTTTTTTTGATACAACTGCTAATTACCATAACCAAAATGGTCGACAAATGGTGGAAAGTTGGTGGGGGTCTTTATGTTTCAGGTCATTTAGTAATAAAGTGAGTCGATTTTAGTGGAGGTAAGTGTCTTGTTTTGAAGACGATTGTTTGTTTTAGTAATGCATACACATGCATAAGTCGATAGGTTGAGTTTTCATTCTTGTTTTTGCCTAAAACTGTTCCGCTCAAATTTCTTGCGGAAAAGTGCGTCAAAGAAAATGCACTCGCCTTATAAACTCGATGTAGGCCTTGGCTGGAATACGAGTTTATTCATATGAACTAGGCGTAATGTAAATTCCATAGGCGCCCGGCTCTGAAATATTTATAAGCATGACCTATATATGAGAAAGGTGTGTCAGTAAATCGAAACAAAATGGCGGCTCGGCTCAGTTTCGTTCTGACAAACACTTCCATTGCTTTGACCGTTGAATAAACTGCACAATTTATACTCAGTTGACCTCTGTAAAGTACCTTGCGTATCACAAACCTGATGATTTTATTCCCATTTAAAGCTTTCAATAATTTTGCCATCCATTCTCGGACGAAGTCAGGACATATGCCCGGAAGTAAACAAATCTCAGGCTACAGACCCGCACCGAATAGTAATGCGAGTCTCTGATTGGATAATATAGTTGCACGTTAAAAGAGGTGGGAATAATAGAAGATGCTATCCCATCAGAGACTGTCAGTAAAAGTCTCCAAAGTAATGTAGAATATTTTTTTAATTTTCATTCAAGATTACTCGAATTTTTACTTGTTTAAGTGAATCTTTTTTTATAAAAATAGACAAAATTAGAAAAATTCGGAACGTTTCCTGACAAAAACCTTCTTATCAGCAATGTGAGACATGAACTTCAATATTACATCAGTATCAGCTTTTGGCGTAAACTATTCACCATACTGTTTGT